TCGCGTTGGACGATGCGATTCGCGGTTTCTTCGGCCCGCTGAAAACCGTCCGCACGATATTCACAAGCGACAAGTCGAAATACCGTGGCGAAGTACCTAACTCGACGTACGAGTCTCTACGTAGGAAGAAAGATCCCGTTGGAGAGTGTACTGAAAAGTTTTTCCTTCTCCTGGGACAGGAGAACAGAAGCCAAGTGGAAAGCCCAATAAGGAACTGAAGGATTCCTTTGGTAGGTTCCCAGGTCAGCCAATCGCTCTCGATTACTCCAACCGAACGTTTTCTCGCTCGCAGATATCGTGTCTCGTCACCATTCTTGGTCTGTCACCGACTGTTTTCGATTCAGCTGAATGAGCTAAAATCTTTCTTCTTCGCGTGTCGGCCTGTTCCTTTCTTAGCTGCTCTGGGACTCTGTTCCTTTCTCCTTCAACGCTCGGCCTATAAGCTTGCCTCACTAAAAACTGCAACCTAATTCAGCTAAAAGGAGCAGACCTCTTGTCGAGCGTTCGTGCACGGAAAAAGAAGAATCCCAGCTCGTGTAACTCAATGGGAACCGGACGAAAACTCGGTTGCGTGAAACGATGTTTCTGCTGACCGAGAACATTCATCTGAACATTCAACTGCACCAAGGCTCTCGATTGAGACAACCGAGAGCAGTCGATTGAGTAGAAACCTCCTACAGGAATCTTCCTGTCGCTACAACGGCGTTTTCATCGAACACGCAGAAGCGGCAGAAAATTTAGCTGTACCAAAAGAATCGTTCCCTCCCGTTTAGCTTCCCTCCTCCCGTTTAGGTTCAGGTCCGTCCGATCCGGTTTTGGCTTTTTCTACCCGCTCGCAATTCCATCCACTTTGTTAGTGTCTATTCCATTGATTTTATTAATCTTTTCATACGTCCCTAACGTGACTCTCGTCGGCGTTATTGGGATTCCACGACGAGGTCCGCGGCGTGGCATTTTGACGGGCACGCGAGCGCACCGCGAGAGAGAGAGACGGCAGGCCGATGCGATCGTTAGTTAATAGCTGATGGGTAATCGCGCCCGGTTTACAAACAATACGACCATCACGAGGGGAAAGTACAATGGTGCGGTTGTGTGACCGCCACGGAGAGTGAGAGAGACAGAGGGGGGAGGGGGAGGGGAAGGGAGAGAGGAGATTCACCCGCGTCGATGCGGCCTCACCGGCAACGTCGGATCGTAATAATTCCAGGCGCGTATGTATCAAACGATGAAATCGTGCGACGCACGGCCGCGTGATAGGTGGTAAACTGGTAACTGGTACCTGGTGATTTGTAACTGGTAGCCCGGCGGGCCCGGCTAATCCCACAAAGCGGGCCGACCTTAGAAATTTCTGGACAATTTATTCCGTGGCATGCGATGCGTAAAAAGGACACCGCTCGCGCAGCGGTCGACACGGCGACGCTGTCACCAACCTGCGGAGCGAGCCCGCAGTGAAGCGGAGGAGAAGCTGAAGAACGGGAGCACGGACGTGCCGTGGAATTAAGCGCTTCGATTCTTTTCGCCGATCTCGCTCGATTCTCGGATACACCACGATTCACGCTGAAAATGCTTTCAGAGGAGGACAGTGCCTCCTCGTCTTCAACTCGTCAACTGTCGACTCGCCAGCGTCCGAGGACGGAACATTTCAACTTCCAATGTTGTCGCATCGGAGCTGCCGCGCAATCTTCTTCGGGCATGCGAAGGAGTGACGAAGAGGACGAAGCAATCGAAGACTATTTTATACCCGAGAGAACGAGAGGACGATCGAGGATGAACGAAGAATCAATCGCCGACGCGAGCGGCAAGGCTCAAGCTGACGCCGGACCTGGATGTGAAACGCGGAGAGCCTTGGTCGGTTCTCATTTACGTTCAGCTCGCAGATGCGTCCCTGGTGTTGGTGCCGTCTCCGTCTTCACCGCTACCTCCGTCTCCCTCGTCATTCCTCCTTTTTTACTTCTCCACCGTCTCTCTCCCTCGTATCTCAATCTAGACCCCTCATCATGTTTTAATTTCACGGCCGGCTTTCCCCTCGCTCTGAATCCCTTCCGCGCCGCCAGCAGCCGGTACCGCGGATAGAAAGGTGGAAAGGAGTAGAAAGAGAGGGAACGAACTCGTGTAGGTGCGACGGGCGCCGAGCGCAGCGAGGGATGGGTGTAAGGGAGACAGGACGCCTGCCCCCACCAAATTCAAGAGAACGGGGGCGTCACCCCGGAGTCCCTTCCGTACCGATAGTGGAACTCCCTTTATCCAAACGCGGATGGCTCGGCAAAAGCCAGCGGGGCAAAGGGAGACGGGATAGACTACCTCGAAGAGGGGGCAACAATCCGAATGGTAGTAGTGGCTGCTGTGCACACGCCACGAAAACCTTACCCCCACTGTGTGCACCTCCTCGGCGTGCTGTGCGTCCCTTTTGCGCGTCGCACACCAAGCGTACGTCACCTGCTTTTGGTCATCCAAAGGGCTGCTGCGGAATGACGCAAAAAGAGCGGCCGACCGCCGGAGGGGAGGGTGGGCCACGAGATTTCCGATTTCTTGCGGAATCAGCGCGCGGCGGTCACTCTGGTCACGAGTCACCCTAATGAACACGCCACTGCGACTCCAAGAGACCGCTTGGATATTTGCTCTCCGCGCGACAGCGTGTTCTCCCCTCGTCCAGCCATTGTTTCTGCAATTTGCGCGTTAGTTGATTCATCAAGTGGGTTAAAGCGACCTGGCCCTTTCCGGGTCGCTCGGAGACCCCTGGAGGATCATGCGCCGGGCATTTGTGCAACCGGCCGGAAACGCGCGTGGAAAAAAACGCAGCTCCGTTTTGCGATGCGTGTCCGTTGCGTCGCGTTACGTTGGCCGAGGCGACAAAGACCCCACGCTGCCGACTCCAGTACTGATCGGGCCATCTTCAGACAAAGACGCGGGCAATTACTTCGCGACAGCGCGTCTCACAAAGGCTTCACGCTTGACGGACTTTGTGAGAACGACGAGCGCTAAGAGGCCGCGCTACAAATTAAGTCGTTTCAGGTCGGCGTGTGATGAGGAATTATTTCGGCCGTTACCTTCTGGCCGCGTTGCGCTCAAAGGGCCCGCGTTTCGCTCGCGAGCGCGTCCAATTGTCACTCGCGCTGCGACAGGCTGCGGTGGCCTTCCGCGCGGCGCGAACCACAAGCGGCGCGGTTGGATGTTTTCCTCGACACTCCTCGTGTCCTGGGAAATCGTCATTTTTCCTCCTCATTTCGTAGCTTTTGCTCTTCTCCGCCACGGCTGCGTTTCCCGGTATTCAGCGCGCTTAGGAAGACGCAGGTGACGCGACTGCGGCTGGCAAAAACGGACCGGCCGAAAGCGAGGAAACGGCGAGCGCGGGTTGAATTGCTCTCGCGGTTGTCACGCATGGAAGCGCCCTAATAAGGACCTGCGGCATAAATGAAGTCATTTGCGGTAGGTGCCGTGAACGCGGTCTTCTTACCGGTCGAGCCCTTAATGCGTCCGGGTAATTGAACAATGAGCGCGACTTCCTGCTCAATTTCTGTGATGAAGACCCAACAGCCGCGGCCGCCGAGCGGAAGGACACATCTGAGGACTTTTTTCTTTCTTGTCGTAAACTCGCACGTTACTACGCCTGAACCGGCGGTCATGGACCGACGGTGCCGTGAAGCCTGATCCGTCGAAGGAAGAATCAGCGCGAGTTGAATTATCCTCTCGACTACTAGGCGATTGTCCGCCAATGGGCCGGCGGTATAAATAAAGTCATTTGCGGGGTAGTCGCCGTCCCCCTTCGCTTCGTCGTACGTACCCTTCGTCGAATCGGACCTTTCGTCGCGTCCGGGGCGCGGCATCGCGACCGAGAGAGCGGCCCGTCGAATGGAAAGAACTCTGGAGAATCGGTTTGTTTTGTGGATTAGGCTCGTGTTTTAGCCGCGGCCCGCGACGAATCGCGAAACGCGGCCCGACGCACGTCGCCGCTTTTTCTCCCCACCGGCAGTCGGGCCTCGTCCTCGGCGATGACGGCGAGCCGCAAAAGGGGCCTCGAAATTGCTTCCATAAATGTTCAGCATAATCGAATTTGCGAGACAATCAGCTGGCCGATCCCGGGAATTAATCAAGACGTCGTTTGCGATTTTACGGAGCATCCAGTCCGTGGTGGCGCGGGGATGCAAGCGGGGGTGGAAGCGTCTGTCTGTCACGCTGTCGGCGAACAGGCTGTCGGGGGGTTGAGGCATGAAAAGTTGTGTTTACAGCGTTAAGGATTTATTTTATAAGAATAAATAATTAGTGTATATTTATTTTTATATATATATATATATATATATATATATATATATATATCATCTGCGGGAGGTTCTCTTACATAAGAATAGCAATCGTGTGACTTTTGCCCGAGAGGGAAAACGTGAGAAGGGATATGCAAAGAGTTTCACGTATGTGATCCTGAGACGACCTTCTGCGCTACTTTTCGAGCAGCGAAACTGTCCACTTCTCACGTTCCCGCCTGTTCCGGGGAATAGCTACGCGATCGCCGCCGAGGTCCTAATGCAGATGTTTTAGCAACTTACATCGATGAATGCCTATCGTAGTGAGTAGTGCTTCTACTTATGACATGTCACTCGCACTGTACCGTCGACACCACCCTCGAGATGCCTCCTGCATCTCTTCGATCCACCTACCCTCCCCACGTGCATCCTCGATGATGCCTTCGACTTACGTTACAAGTTACCTTCGTTACGACGAGGTAAAGTCGAAGGAAGCCGGATTAGGATTCGTTGTTAATTGGATCGGTTCGGCTATTTATGCGTTAAGTTGCAGTTCTCTTGAGTTGATGACAGACAGGTACGTTCTTAAGACATGCCGTTACATTATTGACTTTTATTAAAAGTACGTATAAGTATACACATGCGCTAAGTATACAAAATTACAATAGTATTACATGGAAGAGAGACTCCGGAAAAGAGAGAGAGAGAGAGAGAGAGAGAGGGAGAGAGAGAGAGAGAGAGAGAGAGAGAGAGAGAGAGAGAGAAAGAATCAAGAAAGAGATTATTTACAACAGGTAAAAAGAAATATATATATATATGTATATATATGTGTGTATATATGTATATATACATATATATGCATAAGGTATGTATAAAGAGGAGGATCCACTCGGACAAAGTAAGGAGGACGAGGTTAGTAACGTAGCTTTAGAGGTACGAGCATCGTCGTCTTCGTCGTCTCTTAAGTCGGCAGAACTTAATTCATCCCGCGCAGGCGGAACGATCTTTTGGTTGTGAACATAGACTCACGGAAGAACCTTGACGCATGTAATACACCTGTCCTTCTGTTGCGCTTCCGCTTACGCTTACCTAACTGAGCTAACCGTAAATACATACATCGTACGCGTCCCGCTCGCTTAACCGCTCGTTCAACGCAAGTCGTTAGCTTTTCCTCTCTCGGATCTGACAGACAGCAACGTTGCTCCGGCTTCGTCCGGCACCTCTCGCGAACGGGGCTGGAAAGAGAGCGTGTCTCTCCCGAGGGAGCGTAGAATTTTCTCAACTCGCTCGTTCTCCCAATTTATCAACTTCTTCGTTGGACATTGAGGGAAATTCTCTCATTTCCTCGAAGGTTCGAGAATGTTTCGAAAGTCGATGCGAATAATCAGCATTTCCTGATCGAAGTATCTTGTGGAAAAAGTGAGACGAAGCGTTACATCGGATGGAGATATTCAGCATCGGGAGCGTGACGTGGACGGTTTTTATTCGGGCGAACGCTGGAACGCTGGACATTCCTCGTCGATCTCGAGATCATCGAGACGACGATCGCTCCGTGAAAAGTGGAGCCTCGCAACGGGCTGAAGCCGGGCAACATGACACGACTCGTCGTCGGCGAATAGACTAAATAAACAAACAATAACAACAATAATAAAAAATATTCTCCCCTTGCGGCCGATACGAGAGCATCGAGCTTCCTCGTCGTGCTGCTCGCGCGACAACCTGTCGCCATCCACGATTTATGACACTGTTGCACCACGCGTGCAGGCGCATGGTAAAGTTGCGACGATCGTACAGGAAGACGAGAAAGAGCTGCTTTCCTCGAGGAGCCTTCCCTACATTTCATTGGTTGTATTTTGGCACGGAGTTGAGTCACGCGCGCTTGTCCCTCGCCTCGAAACGAAGTTACGCGCGGGGTATTGTTAATAATCTGTGAGGCGTGTGTTTCGGATCTCAGTGAGTTCCACGAATGAGAAGAGGAGCGTCGATGATCCTAACGATTCCCGGCACCGGGGGAGGGGGGGGGGCGATGCCCAAATTGTGTTGCTCGTAATAAATAATCGTGCGGCGAGTCGGCGTTTCCGTAACGGTGCCGTGAAAATTGAAACGAAGAGGCGCGACCGCGTTCAATAAATAATTACAGACGACGCGAATGTCAGTCTTTTTCGTTCTTCCTAGCTTTTTTTCTGTTTTTCGACGTATAACCGCAAATTTCGACCGGTAATATATAAATTTAACAGTCCGCGAAGGATACCGTCCAGCGGCGTCATCCGCGGTCAATCTTCTCATGCGTCGTGACTCGTTCACGTTTGAGCGTCTAGAGCGAATCAAAGTTGGATTCCCGATCGCTGGTCTGCAACAAACGTCAAACAATAACAATCTCGACGAAATCTTGCAAAGAAAGATACTTGCAGGATCCAAAATGATTTATAATCAATACGAATAAAAGGCCGATAAGAGCCATTTTTGAGTTCTCCTTTAGTTCCTTCTTACAAAATAACAAGACAAAACTGAATTTTAACAAAAAAAATTAATTTCTTCTTTAAATTTCAAAAAACTCAATTATTTGAAAATAAAAATTCCAGCTTAAGAAACTATGCAAACGTTCTTTCTAGCTTTTTTCTGCTTCAACATATAATCGCAAACATATCTTTTAATGGTTTCCTTTAAATAAATTCCCAAGTATTGTTGCTTTTTGATCCGAGAAAATAAAATTTACTCCCTTAGTTTAATAGTATTTTTTCTCATATTTTATATTCTCACTACTTGACAAATATTCTCTAAAAACTTAGGCTATCACGTTCAACATCTAGCGCTGGCCTGCGTCAGCCTTTTATTTTTATTGAGGTCTTCCAATCTTTCGCGTGTCAGAAATCGAAAGCTACGTTTAAAAGGTTCCGCATGTAAGAGTCCTCACCCTGTCCGGACTGTAGAGTGGCGGATGCTGCGCTGGAAGTCTCAGTGTGCTGCCCAAGTCCCGCTCAGCCATGGTGTGGCCTTCGCTGGCGCTGTCCCTGGTGTCCCTATTGTCCCTGGTATTGTCTTTGACGCTGTTCCTGCGCGCGGCGGCAACTTTCGTCGGCGGCTGAATAGTCGTTTCGCCGCAGGACCTCGCCAAAGTGGAGCCAGCCTCTCCCAAGTCCAGTCTCAGCAGCTTCGTCGGAGCCTGAATGGTCGTTTCGCCGCACGACCGGGCCAGAGTCGAGTCGAGGTCCACTTGAAGATCCCCGCTTCTCAGCACCTTCGTCGCCGGCTCCACAGTTGTCTCGCCGCAGGATCGCGCCAGGGTGGACTCCGCGTCTACGGTACGCGTCACCGTCGCCGACACCTGCCGATAATTGAGAGTCCCTCGTCACGCTAGTCATTTTATCAGTCGTTGCTGCTTCGGTCGAAACGAGACGAAGAATGCGGCCGTACCTGGAAACCGGCGCTCACGAGAGCACCTGTGGGCGTCATCGGGCCTCGTGCACCTTGCAGATCGGCTTCCTTGCAGTCCTTCGCGCTGGATATACTCTGTTTCCTGTTCGCCGGCGAGTGCATGCCATTGTCCAGGTAATTGATGAGTTTGTGCTCCTCTGCGGCAAAGGTGCTCATGCCGGCTTTGTAATTTTGCGGTGACTGCGGCGCCGATCGGTATTTCGCTCGTGGGATCATCACCGTCAATGAGCGATCGCGTTGCTCGTCGTTGATCGGTATCGCTGTGAGCACGTTAGATCGACCGGAAATCAAGTGGATTCATTTTTAACTCTCGATTAACATTCCACTAAAGGGTCGTGCGAAGGAGAGACATTGCTCGCGCGGTGGTTGGTGAAGATGAAACAGGACTTACCAGCAGCTGGTACCATCGTGGCTTTTCTAGGCGGATGGCGAGGTTTCGCGCTGATCTTGCGGATTGGCCGCTTATTCGTCGGCGGCAATGGTGCTATCATCTGCGGCGGTGGCGGCAATACGTGCGGCACATGATGCGGTATCGCCAAGTCAGTGACGCTACCTTCGCTGCTGGTGTCACCGCCGGTTCCAGGGATCATCGCTCGTCTGTCGCCGGTCTTTCGGTCGTGTCCTGGATGGCGGAAGCACGCCATCCCCACGCAAACCGCCAAGAGACCCAACAAAATCGCTCCGGTTGTCACCAAAGCTATCAGCAAAACTGCCAAGAAAGACGAAAACGTTGGATTTCGTGAAAACCTACCCACATAAGACATCCAAATCTAAACATTTCAAAGACATCCAAAGTCTAAAAAAAGTAAAACGTTTTTGTATGAGAAAGACATGAGGCCCGATGCTGCTCTCACCTTTGAGATTCACTTGACAGCGTTGACCGCTGTGCCAGGGGAAGCACTCGCACACCTCTTGGCCGAAGGAATTGGTGACGCAGTGACCTTTGTTGTTGCAGCCAGCACACCCTAATGGTGCCTGTGAGCATACTCTACCGGGATACGCCGGGTTTTCCGACAGATCGGCCCAACCTTCTCTGCAAGAGCACTGGTATGATCCGCGCAAGTTGAAGCACGCCGCGTGAGGCGAACAATCATGATGAGGCCCACCCTCCTTCGAAGCGCACTCGTCGAAGTCGAGCGCTTCGATCTAAACGAAATTCGAGAACGAGATATCAGCGATTGAGTATTTGTTTCTTGCTGTGAATATTGCTATGAAAGTCGTACTACGTATCGACTGACTCACCAAGTCGAGGTTCTTCGAGGCGAACACCTCCGTACCGCCCAAACTGTAATTGCTCCCGACTAGATATTTCCTCAGGATCTCCTTCAGTCTGGTCTCGTTGGCGTTATCGCTGAGCTGCACGTGGAACTCGACTTTCGTAGGATCCGAGGTGAACCCGGCGATCTTCAGACCTCTATACACGTCCCGCAGATCGCTCTGCATCAGGGTCCTGTCCAGGGCGTCCTTCGTTGGGACCGCCAGGTGTTTGTACATCGTCGAAGTAGAATCGTTCAGAGCGCCGTCGTACGTCACGGACTCGTGACCGATGCGGTCTAGTCCGACACGCAAGGTGTAGGTGTAAGTCGCTGAAAATTCGTTTCATGTTAACGCTCAGAACATTACAATTGTCCAACAGTCGATGCTGCTTCAGACGCAGTCCCGCGTTCGAAAACTCACGCTTGCAAGGGCGATCCGGGAACATCCTCGCGAATCCTGGCCGACACACGCATCTCATCTCAGCGCCCACTTCGGCACATATCTCGGACTTGGACGATTTGCATTCCGGAGTGCATTGATTCGCAATGGGTGTCAGAGGCACCACCGGAGCTCCCAACACCCCACCCGCGAGCACCCTGTGCACTTCGTTGCCCGTTGGATCCTGCTCATCGCGCGAGACCTCCTCGCCGTATTCAGCTTCCACCTGAAATCCAAAGTGGACGTGCTCGTTTATATCAATTCAATTCGTTGTAATTATCGTGGTTGTTTTTTCACTACGATATTGTATATCCAAGTATATTGTTTTTGTATGTGTGTGTACCTCTTCCGCGTCAGGCGCTGGTGGCTTTTGGTCGCTCATCACGACGAATATCGAATCATTGTCCACTGTGTTGTCGTATGACGACGGTACCCTGGTGACGATCGGTTGCAAGATCGTCGAAGTAACCGTGGAGACGACGCTTGTCGGGCGCAATAGTGTTTCTGTCACCGTCTCTACCGTTGTGGTGGTGATTGTATGTGTGAGCAGAAGCGTCCTTGTCGTCGGCGGCGAACCCAATACCGATGTCTTCGTCCTTGTCACTGTCGACGTTACGAACCGCGTCACCTAGTTTGCGAATATTGATTGATAGATAAAAAGTGCAAGGGAGAACTGATCAACGCTTGGGAACACATGATTGATAAAATCGAGAAAAAAGAAACAACAGGAATACCTCCTTCGGCTTTGTTCGCACGGTAACGTTAGGCCCGTCTTTGACGACAACACTAGTTGCAGTCTCCACAGCGTTCATCGTAGATTGAGTAGTCGAATCGGTAGCTTTGGGACTCGTCTTGCTGTCCTTCATCGGCACCAACGTGCTGGTTACTTTAGTGATCGAGCTATCGACCCTGGTGACGATTATAGGGCGTTGTTGGCTCGTTGTACTGCTGTGTTGAGTCGTTTGCGGTTTCTGCGTTTTGATCATGTCCGTTTTCGACACGGTTGGATACGCTTGCTTCTTCTGATCCGTTTCCGCGATGGTTGTTAATGACTCAGTGGGTTTCATTCTGACAGTAGACGGTAAGATACTCTCGTGGCTGGATTCCAAGAATATCGGGTGCTCCGGCCGTTCGACAGGATTCGGTGGGATATCCATCATATGCGTCCTCGTGGGATCGACATCACGATGGATCGTCGACGATCTGCTCGGCTGGATATGGTCTGCTTGAGGTAATCGCAGTTTCGTTGGTATCACCATGTTCGTCGACAGCGTCGACGTTGTCTGAATTGGAATCCTGAATACATAGTAGTCGAATCGTCAAGCACGGCTCGTTTAGGATATAGAATAATGGAGATTAAGAGGAAGTGTCAATTTGCGCACCTAGTCACTGGTTTTGTATCGAAAGGCCGCACAGTGTAGATGCTGACGTGTTCGGTCATTCGTGTCTCCGTTGGTCTGAGGATCTCGGGCACGTCGACCACGACTGGCAGATCAACGGTGCCGTGAATAATCGGGATCTTGGACTCGATATCCTGCACCACTGGAATATGAGACGTCGCGACCGCGGTGGCTATTTGTATGGAGCCAGACACCGCGACAGCTGGTCTCACGGTAGCGATCTCCAGCGGCCTGGTCGTTGTCAATACCGGTGGTGGTGGCACCATGTCCTAAAATGCAACGAATCTCATCGAATTGTCTCGAAATTCCTCTTACGTTTATCATCATCATCGTCATTGTTTATCAACAGGTAACCCTTTAATTACGCAGTAAATACATAAAGCGCGAAAATAGAAATAAAAAGAAATTGAATAACGAAATACAATAATAGTAACGATAAGTGACAACAAAGAAAAAGTAAGTAAGTAGATTCGAGATGTTGAATTTGTGTAAAATATATGAGTTTAGCTACGAACGGATGAACGAATAAACAGATAAAAAGAATGTAAAAGAATATTATTAATTCGTACATCTTGGTGAGACTTGAAACAAGTGAACATTTGAGGAACAAAAGTATTCCCCCAATAAAGAGAAACCTAATATATAAAATTAATATTTTATATTCAAATTATTTGTCTCGATTTTTTGGAAAGTCTAGAAGTCTTCAAGTCTCACCTGTGACAGCAGTTCCACGAGGAATGGTTTCGTAAGAGACGGTCTTGGACTAGGTGGCACCATGCTGGTGCTAGGTGGAGGTGGTGCAACGGTGGTGATTGATTCTTTCAAAGGCACATATTTCGGCGGCTTCAGTCCGGACTCGTCGGTTGTCACTAGAGCGAAGCGATCTTCTATCGGCACATGAGTGGTAGTGATGTCTACCGGTGGTGGCGACAATCCGACCACATCGCTCGACGGTGGTGGTGGAGGCTTGAGGCCCTCTTGCTCGTTCTTGTTGGACTGGTTCGATCCGGCGTTTAAAGGCGGCGGTATCATGTTCCTGGAGGGAATATTCATGTCCTTAATATTAATTGGCCTCGTCTTAACCTCATCCTTCTTGCTCTGGCTGTCCGAGGAGGCAAAGTTCGTTTGGTACGCCGCGTCCAGAATCTCGTCGTTCTTCTTGTTGTGCGACAAATTGTTCTTCGTGACCAACATGCTGGGTGGCCTCTCAGTCTGCGTCTTGCTATCCACTTCCTCACCCATTGCCTCCACCGGCATGGAGAACTTGATGCTCGGCCGACTATGCGTCTCCATTCCCGCCGTGCCGCTCGAGATAATCACTGGTCCTGGCACCTGGGGCTTCGGCTTCGTCAGAATATGAGGATATTCTGGGTGCACTCTTGTGTACGTTCCGTGATCTGGACGTACGACAACGACTGGTCGATTATTCCCGATTGTAGTAGGGCGAGACACGCTGCTGTTTTTATATTCGATTGGCCTCACGCTCGTTTGAGCAACGTGGGAATCGTGTCCAGTTGGTGTTTTCTGTGGGGACTTTGTAACATCCGGAAGTATCGCACCCACATTCCACTTCTGAAGATCGTGACTCAGTTTCAACCCGTGATCCAGTGTCTGATTGATGAAGGTCTCCGCGGCGTTCAGCTTCACGTCTCCTGGACGTTTCATCACGTAATCAGGCCTGATTTCCAGTTTGATCGGCGGTTTCGTCAGTATTTCCGGTTTGACATACAGAACAGGCCTCGAATCGGGACGGGCCGGTCTGATATATGGTCTTCCTGGTCTGTCCATTTCAGCGCCGAATTGAGGTATAATCGCTGGCGGTTTTAGATCGATGGTATCGTCGTGCTCGAGCGTACTGACTGTCGTAAGTTGGCTGCCTTGTGTCTTCTGGATCAACGTCGGCATAGAAGCGAGAACCTCGCCATGAGAGGCGGGTATACCATGAACTATCTCGTAATCGGGTCTACCTTCCTTCTGTTTATAACCATACGGAGTGGTTGGGTCCACGTAGCCGTTGTAAACGCCGAAGGGTTTACCCTGTACTACGGGCAATTCGTAAGGCCTCGTACTATAAGGATCAGCACCGTGTGATCCTGGCAATATCGGTTTGCCGTCCGTCTTGTATCCGAAAGTCATGCTTTGTTCTTGTCCCACTTCCAGCGGTTTGCCCACTACCGTATTAATGGAAACCACCGGTCCATAAGGAGTTTGCCGATTCAGGGTCTGATTGATGTTGTGAGCGTAGGCTGAATTCAGCATATCCTTCTTACTTTGACCGCTGACCTCTTGGCTCTTGTTACCCTGATCATTGTACTGATTTTGGTAATTCACGTATTCTGAGGCGTCGATGGCGGAGTCCGGCAACGTCTGTTCCGTTTGCACTTGCGTTTGCCACTTTTCGGGCTGATCTTCCGGCATCTGCTGCGGTATCGCTGGTACCTGAAGGTACTTACTATCCTCCGACGCTGGGTTCGAATACGAAGGATTGTGATATTCCATCGCACTAATCGGAGGAACACGGCTGTTTTGTTCAGTGGGGGCAGGCGGCGTCATAAAGTTACCCACACCTACGTTTTCCGGATAGATATGCGGCGGTCGCTCCTGATGATCGACTTGAAGGGTAAACAGCTTGGGTGGTATCCTATCAGGAGTAGACTCCTGGTGAGACTGAGGACTCATCGGCGGGCGATGTGGCAAGACGAAGGTATTCTGTGTCTTGGCCGGAAGTCTCGGAGGTCCAGAATATGTTGGTTTCCGTGCCGGAGGATATCCGGTGGGCCGTTCCACGAAGACATGCCTGTCCAAGGGACGGTCAGACGTTGGTCTCAGTATAGGTCGCGGTCTCGGTCGGCTGTTCGGCGCGAATCTTAGCGGCTTCTTGTCGGATTTCCAATTAGCGCCTAGTGTTATCTCGTTGCCAGAGTCTGGCTTGCCGAGAAATATGTATCGGTGCGGGACTTCACCCGATGAGGAGACCTCCGTACGTCTCGGAGGGTTCCCTTGTTCCACCGGGCCTTGGCCCTTCGGGAAATGGCCGCGTACTGGCGGCTGATGGACCGAGTGCACGTGAGAGTGAATAGACGGGTGTGGAGCGGGCTGCGGTCGGATGTTGATCGTCTCCGGTTTGTGATGTACGAGGATTTCGGTGTGAACGTGACCTTGGCTGGAACTCCCGGATCCGTCGGGACGTTTGATCAGATGCACTTCCGACGGTCTCTTGTCGGGTCGTAGTAGAGGAGTCTCTGGAGTTTCCTGCGGTCTCCCGTAATCAACCCGTACGGGTGATAAGGGAATGGTATGTGGACGACCGGATAAGCCTGGTTTCGATGAAGCGGGCTTGAAACTAATGGGTGACGACGGAGGTGGTGAGGGAGGGACCATGTAGTCGGCTGGATCTTTCTCGTTTGAGTATTGAGGCAAGTCTTGAACCTAAACGCATGGAACAGTACGAAATATATTTCGTGTTACTTTTATACTTGAAGAGTCAGATGTTGGGATTGCTATTGCACGTACCTTTTGGATACCTACGAAGCCTGGCCCAACTTCAGGTTCTGGATAGGGTGAAGGGTCGTCGAAATATTGCCCGCTTATGTGAGGTTCATTGGTGTCTCCGAAGATCAGCGCTTGCGTGCCTCCCTGAGGAATTACGACGTTGGCAACTTGGCTGGGTTGGATATTAACTAACAGAGGCTGTCCTGTAGACCTGTTGATGACGTGTGGGACCTGGTGAACTATCGGTCGGGTTGGAATATCTTTCGACTCTGAGCTTTGAATGACGATGGAAGTATCCGGCAACAGAGGATCTTTCTGCGCCCATGGCGGTCGTTTCTGTTCTTCGGACGGTAGCATAGTCGGACGAGGTTTCTCGATTGATTTATCCGGATGAATCTACAAAGAAATCACCATACGTGTAACGTTCGTATTCACTTTAGAGTTTTATTACTTTCGGAGTTAAACAAAACATTTCTAGCTTTTCGACTCCTCTTGGGAACTTTTGCGAGTACTTGCCTATTTTTCAAAAAAATTTTTGGCAGTTTAAGACTTACTACAGTTATTGTGAACTTGAAGTAAAAATTGGATTTCAGATGTGAATAAAAAGTGAAAGAATCAGACTTTTTATTATTTCTGCTTTTCTGGAATTTCTTAAAATTTTCGAGTTATATGGATTTAGATCTTTTTAAATCTTGCGGAAAGACCTCCAAAAATTCCCTAATAGGTGAACTTGAAAATATTCTTTTAATTCCAGCGTGTAGATTTAGAAGGGGAGGATATGTGTGTTACTTATTATTTTATTTTCAAGTCAATTCGGGAAAAGTCCATCCAAGAAGACGTCCTCGAACACCCTGTACAGAACTTACTTCGTCGTATATCGTAGATGACAGAGGCGGTGTTAAGGGATCTTTGGCGCTCCAAGGTCTCCTGTACTTTTCCGGATTCCATTCTGGAACCTTCGGGCTCAAATTCGGATTCGCGTATTGCTCCACATTCGGTCTATCGGGTGGCTTCAGCAGGGGATCGTTCTGCAAGATATCTTGATTCGATCCAATCCTCTTAGGAGGCGACGGTTGAACGGGATGCAGTTTTTGAGGTTGCTTAGAAGCGGTCGGGTGATTCGCGTCCAGAGGAATAGAGACCGGCACTTTCAGGTGTTCTTCGTAGACCTGGTGTGCCGGCAGGATCTGCACCTGCGGACCTTCCACGGTCGGCTGAGCTTGCACGTCCTCGTGATCGCTCTTGAGAACTTCCAGTACAGGATGCACCGGGATATTAGGCACGGGTAAAGGAGGAGGTTTCATGCCGTCCTTCAGATACGTCTGCGGCGGTCTCGGTGCCATTTTGCCGGGTTTCCCTATGATGACGTCGCTGTTTGCGGTGATCACCTCGCCGGGGGATATCGGTATGCCGTCGGCGAGACTACTGGCCACTTTGTGACGCGTCTCGGCGATGTAATTGTGATTCAAGTTCGCCAGATGAGCGGCTGAAGAAGCAACGAGGTTTTAGAAAGTCGAAAACGAAAAAGAATGAAAAATTGTAGAAAGCCGTGAAACGATGAAAGAGAAACGAATAAAATAATAAACGACGTTTCCGTAAGAAAGAAACAGAGAGAGAGAGAGAGAGAGAGAGAGAGAGAGAGAGAGAGAGAGAGAGAAGGAGGGAAAGGAAGTAAGACCTATATTTTATCACCTATATTTTGGCTTTCTGCAGTTTCGATATCACCGTCGGCGAATTCCGCAACCGGTATGTAAATCGGCGATCTCTGCGTAGTGACCTCTTGGGTCTCCGCGAGAGACGCGGTGTCGTTTCGCCGCGAGGCCGAGGCGGTCTTCCCCTGCAGTAATCCCGCCATCGCCGTAATCACCGGTCCCAGGGCAGACAGGCTGTTGATTCCTAGAGAGCCGAGGCCGAGAAGATTGCCGACTTGAAGATCTTCCCCGGCCTGAGAAGTGGGCCGTTTGTTTTGTGGCTCATCGCCCGATGACGCGCTGCCATTATTATTCTGCACGAAAGAGTCACGAGTGAAATGCGAATGTTCGCATGAGATAATACGCGCGATTGTATATTCGGACACGAGAAATGCGTGAACGACTCTCTTGATCGTTTATTCAAAGAGCGAGAAAAAAGACATGCCTGTTTGGTCGCATTCACCGGTTTTGCGATCGCCGACGACGTGTCCGTCGGCGTCGGGGTCGTCGTGCTCTTCTCGTCCTTCGTGATCTCCGGGAAAGAGGTCGCTTCCGGCGCATTCGTGGTCGCGGTCGGGTCGATCTGGTCCTCCTCGTCAAAGAAGATGATCGTCGAGCCGGTGACGACGTTCTTCACCGGGTCGGAGTGGTGCGCGGTCGTCAGCAGGGCGTTCATGTAACCGGCGTCCAGCAAGCTCGGGGCGATCGACTCCGTTACAACGTTCTCGACGATGTGCGAGCGGGACGTCACGGTGGTCGACGTTTCGCCGTCTGGGCCAGCCTGACGGAAGAAGAGGAAGAGATTTTCAAACAAATGTGTATACGCATGCAGCGCGTGATATCTTCAAACGGAGAGTCAGCGAGGTTACCTGCAGTAACGTCGTGAAGTACGTGAAGGTGGTGAGGTACGTCTTCGTAGCGAAGATTTGTATAGGCTCCGGCGTAGGATTAATCGGTGCGGTCTTTGTGGTGGTTTTCCGCACCGGTACTTTCTCCAGCACCACGTCGGTCGACGTGGCCACGTTCGTGCGCACCACCGTGCTGCCTTTCTCCAAAAATGTGTTGAAGTACGTGTACGTGATGTAATAGGTCTTCGTGATATCCGTCATGCTGCCGTCGGTGTTGTCTAGGGCAGTCAAGGTGGTCGTGACGCTGGTTGGCCGCGGCGGTGGTGCCGATTCCGTTACTATTAGCTGGGGAAATAATTGTGAAGGAAGACAAACGATTGTAATATCGCGCCGGTAAACGATACTGATGAATACTCGTTCGCGGAGAAGCAGGCTAACCTGAGTAATCGTGTCGCTGACCGTTTCCACTTTTGTGCGACCTTCTTCCATAAACGTCTTCTCTAATACTCTGGTGCTGAGGTACGTATTGGTTTCCGGTCGCGGCGCTTCTGACGGCTCGAGAATCATGTCTAGGTAATGCTGCGGTGCGGTAACCGTGTTCGTTATGACTTTCGTGCTACTTTCTAACGCGTCGTTCGCGTCCGGGTGGTCGGTGTTCAAAGTCAAATACGTGTAGGTGGTTTTGAACACCTCGGTGCGCAGAGTCGGCGACGCCTCCAGGGTCACGGCTGCCGTCTCAGAACCGGGTTTCCTATGTCGCTCTTCCGTCGCCGTGTTTGCCACCACCTGGAAGAAACGAGTAAGAAAGTATCATAACAATTCTTTAAAATACACTCCCGCGATCGGTTCCGCGATCACGATAAAAATTTGCACGTTTATTTTCCAATAATAATAATAATAATAATAACAATAATAATAACAATAATAATAGTAATAATAATAATAATCGTTACTATTAACTTCGTGGTTTTCGTTTTATTTTCGTTTTAATACCAAAAGGATGATTAGCTCGCTAATGAGAGAAGAATGGAAATTAAAGGATAAAGAACGATGAGACTAACTTTATAAAATGACAGCTGTATGATGTGATTACGAGAGGCTCTCAAATACAAATTGTTATCATAAAATCGTCATTAAAAAAATTATTGTTATTGATAAATTCGAGCGGTGTAATTTGAGCATAAGAGATATCACGTCGCTGGATGTTTCACTTGGGAAAGTGTACGTGTAGACGTGCGTTTGCGTAAACACCTGCTGCTCCGTGGAGACGGTAGTCGTTCCATCCTTGGTGATCGTGCTGAGATACGTGAAAGTTGTTGTGCAAGTCTTCGTGACAAACTCGTTCGGCTTATCCTGCGGAAGGAGCATGACCACCGCGTCTGACAGGGTGAGGGTAGGTTGAGGATTCGAGTTCTCCCATCGTAGAGCCGGAGTCGGCTCGGCGACGATGACTTCCACGCCGTTCGACATTACGCGGGTCGCCAAGTTGAACCTGCGTCCCTCCTCTTCATCCTTCGTCTCGTACTCTCCTGTCGTTACGGTTCCATGAATAACGTTTCACAGATTGTCGCGCGCAATGTCGCAATGATAAGTCGTTCAAGCTCAAATTTTGCAAAGGGATCCTTCTAATCCTTTTAGGATCTGTTACTTTGGTATATATGATAGACTCATCAATTTGTAGCAAATTAAAATGTGTGTGTGGAAAGATTGACGCACGTAAGTAAAAAAGAATGTAAATGAAGAAGAATAGTATACGATATGTTTCAAGTGACAGTAACGAAGAATTCAATATAAATTTGCAAAATTTAGACACGTATGAAATAATTTAATATTATTTTATAATAAACGCGTGTTAATTAAACAAGTGAAATAATGATGTTCTCAAGCGCGACTTGCGCGGCGGGTTGAAGGTCACGCAACCTCCGGAACAGCAGTACGTGCATGTATGCGACTCAATCGAGGTCGTAAACGCAGAAACTTACCTATCATCGATGTTGTCGACCGACCACAACGATCAGATGTCTACAATAATATATATAGAACCGAAGAGAAAGATCGTACATTCGAATTGAAGAAGGAGGGTAATTATACAATTACATATGCGATAAATTTTTACAGAAAGGAAATTAAAAGTTACGTACATATGTATACATAAATATAAATATAAAAAGAAATATATATACATATATATATAAAATATATATAATATATATATATATAAAATATATAATATATATAATAATATATATATATATATATATATAATATATAAAATACATTTATATTTATATATAAATGAAATTAACGTATAGCCAGAGAGATTAATATCTATTCATATGTATATACCCTAGAGTAGAGGGAAACGCAAATTTAAGTATGTACAGCTGGTCACATCTGGTCATATACAATATGTACATTTCATACAGAGTCGTAATGTACAGAGAACAATTTAGAAACCAAAAGCCAATTAACATAGTAATTGAGAGAGCATTTACACAGTGGTCCGATAGTCCGTCTCGTACGTGTCGAACCGAATTCGCGCTACTCGAGAGTCAGGGGAGGTCGTTGTAGCGAAACAAAATAGTATATTAGTCTAAGGATTATGTTACACGCGACGATTACCGCGTGCACGGTCGACGTTGGCGATACGGTGTTCCTTCGTTCACCACCGTCCAACACCGTTTCGCTCTTGTCTTTTTCATCAGAGTGTCGTTCAATATCAGTTTTCTAACGAAAACACTTAGACGAACGTTTATGATGATTCGTTGCTTGACCATCTTGAATACATTCGGGTTGGCCGTAACAAAATGTTCGCTTCGACGTTATCACATTTTCTGATTACAGATAATAATAATTCTTTTATCGTAACTTTTCGTACCAACTTGTTTTGTAACATCAAAATGATTATCGTGCCGTTAATTGAAAACGAATGAAAGATAACGAGGTATTCAAGACGAGACCACTGTGCACACCCAATTAGAGGGGTGTGCGCCCACATTTGGGGTAGTTTGAGGGATCTCTGTCCTTCGTCCGAGCGCCTTCCGTGCACGGTGCGATCGTCGCGAGAAAGAGAAAGAGGTGGGCAAAAGAGCTACTCACCGGCAACGGGTACTGGATTATACACAGACGATACGAAGCTGGCTGACGACTCCACGGTAGGAGTGACAGTCACCGTGACCGGCACCGTCAGCGTAAGTGTCGTCACTCTCGGTCGTACGGTCGTCGACGATGTCACTTTAGTCTCCAGTCCGTTAAGTTGCGTCACCACGTACGTGTACGTCCTTAATCGCGTCGACGTCACTACCGTCTCAGTGTAATAAACGCTCGTGCTGGGCTCGAGCGCGAGGTCCGGGGTCATGAACTCGGTTTGCAGGTCGACCGTGGCTGGCTTGGACGGCAAGATCTCGGGGAAATCGAGGCGAGACAGCGACAAGTAAAGATCGTCCGCCAGTCCGGCCTCGATCTCCTCCGGCGTGGGCGACGCGATCTTGCTGGTGACCTTGGTCGCGGGGATGGTCTCAATCACGGGAGTGCCGGGCGGTTTCGCATCGCGATTCAAGTCCGCGCCGAGAGGTATCACGCTTGGCACGTCCGAATCGTATCGATAGTTGGTCATATCGGGCTCACGCGTCAGTGATGTCGTCGTGGTGTCGAGCGGTATCACGCTGTCGAAGCTCGGCGCGATCGTAGCCATGGACAAGGGGACTGTTTCGGGGATCTGGGTCGAGCTAGAGTCTAGTTTCACGTCTGGTTGTATGGGTCGCACCGTCGGTATCTCATCAGGGCTTTCGCTGCTCACGACCGCAGGCACCTTGTGCTCCAATGGGCTCGCAGGGGCCTCGGTTGAGCCCTGACTTTCGTCCTCTACGTGGACTGTCGTCTTTTCGGTCAAAGAGAAGATGTGCGACTCTGTCGTGTCAGGTATCGTGGTATTCTCCTCGTCAGGGAGGTCCGTCGACTGCGAAGATTCATCGGGCGAGCTTAATGTCACGAGGTCGTCGTTTGTCAAGGTTGTCGGCTCTTCGATATTGGCGACAGTTGTGTGCTCTTCTGCCGTAGCCTTGTCGTTGTAACCATTTTCTTCAGTGGGAATAAGCGTAGTGGTCAGCACGTCTTTGTCCGACATGTCGGCATCGGTGGGTAGTAGTACCTCTGTAGTAGTCTTTTCTTCCATAAGGCTATCAATCGAGGCTACGGTGTTCGTCAAAGTATCGTCGGATTCTTTGCTGGTTGTCACCGTTTGTCCTTCCTCTGGTTTGTCCAATACAATTGGACCGATTGGTGTAGTCGTTACGACGACATCGTTATCAATTTGCGTTTCAATGTCGCTCTTATTGGACACGATATTATCTTCCACCTTGGGAGAAGACGCCTCAGTCGTGAGCTGTTGCTGGTCTTTCTCCGAAAGTGTGATTTCGTCGGCGCTCTCAGTCGTGGTGGTCGTGTCGGTGTAATCGTCCTCGTATTCATCATCTTCCTCGTTGTCGGACGGGGGGAAGAAGAAGTTATCGGTGATGATCACCGGCTCGTCTGACATACTTCCTTCAGAGAGGATAGAGCTGGTCTCCAACGGCTGTAGACTCGCCTGGTCGTTCGGTTTGTTGTCGATGAGATTGGGTGTTTCTTCGAGACCAGGTGTCGAGGTAGAGTAATCTTTCCCTTGAACGACTCTATGATCTTCATTCTCCTCCTCCTCGCTCACGTCTTCGTACTCCTCCTCGTCATATTCGGCGGAAGATGACGCGGTGAAGAATCCGGTAGTGATGATGGCGAAGGTGGGCGTCGCCTCTATCGGCCGCACGGCGACCAGCTTCTTCCGGGTGACTCTGACTCTGTTTTTCGATGATATGCTCGGCAATATCGCCGTAGGTTGCAGCTTTCTACGTCTGGTGATGGTCACTTTGTGCTTGCCAGCGGCCGGCGGCTGGAAGAAGCCTGCCGAGTCTGGCCCGTCGGTCGGGTAGGTCGACTTGCCGAGAGTCCTGACTCGCGTCACTACGATTCTTCGTGGTGCATGCGCGGTTGACGCATACTCAGCTGCACCTCCGCTGCGAGACGCCAAGGGCCTGCGCCTCACCACCGTGAGTTTGTGCTGTCTGGCACTTCTGCTACGCACTACTGGTACTCGGATTCTGACGCGTTTTCGCGGCACCTCGTCGTCCTCCGCATCGAGCCTGTCGACATTTACGTCGCCCTCGTTCGCGGGCCACGCGTCTCTTTCGCTTTCGGCGCTTGTGCTTCCGTATTGCACCTCGTCGTAGAAATCACCTGCAATGGCGACGTTTCCACTAGTCTGGACGTAGCATCCACCTGGCGCTTAAACTCACCCCGCGATCTATACCGAAGTCTATATGATTAAGCACAGTGCAACACGATAAAACCATTCTCGGGGGGGAGGGGGTCGCTCTTATGGTGGTGCGTTAGATCAGTCGGGGTTGTGTGACGTTGCCGTCTCGTTTGGTTGTTTTTGCTCGATCGGATTTGGGAGTTCTTTCCGCAGGTGTTTGTGCACGCAATATGTTTCGTTTGTTGCTGTCGCGCTGATCCGGCGAGATATCCGGAAGAGAGTACCATGTCAGAATTTATCGTGTGGGCGCGCGTGCGGCGACGGCGACGGCGGCGGCGGCGGCGGCGACGACGGATCGAGAGAGGCTGAATGTTAGTTGGAGGAAATATAGGACGATGCTCGAGAAAGGGAAGCTTCTAGTAGGAAATAGAAGAAACAATCCAGAGCGAGAGAAAGAAAGAGAGAGAGAGAGAGAGAGAGAAAAACAGAGAAAGAGAGAAAGAGAGAGGGTTGGGAGAGAGCGAGCCCGTACCGAACGAAACGCGTTGGTGGCCAACGTCGTTGCGATGGCTCTTTCTTTTTCTTTTTTCTTTTTCTTGCCGAAGCTACGAGCCTCGTACGACCCTTTCCTTGCACAATCCTCCCAAGAAAAGGGACCTACGGCAGTCTCGAGATTGTCTATATGTTACACACGCGGCAACTTCGATTTTCATCGACGTTGCTCGCTCGACCCACTAGGACGCGCCCCAAGAAACTGGACCGACGCTCTCCGAGTCGGGGGAGATGTGGGAAAGGTCTGTCGGGCGGGTTTTTAGCGGGTCTCAAAGTGAGGTTATGGACTCGTGATGAAGACAAGGAAGGGAAAGGGAAAGGTAGTAGTCGGGGATGACAGGGCTGAGGCGAGAGGTAACAGAGGTTAGGTATAAATGGACGTGGAAATATGCCGTCCGACGTCACCCACCACGCTCTCGAGACTCTGTGTTGGTGCGTGCGCGTCAATGGGGTCTTCACTTCCCGCCAGGATGGCAACGGCCGCCGGCCCGGCGTGCAACGACGGCGGTATGGACGGTCGGACCTCGACGGCGCCGTCCAGAGTGTCTCTTCGTCTCCGGGACGGAGAATCGCCGACTCTAACGGTGCTCAAGACGGTGCTGAACTCTCCGGGCCTGCGGCCGGAAACGTACAACGTCACCACGCTGGACTCCGCCTTGGATGCGGCAGATGCCTTAGAGTCGTCCCTCCTGTCGTTCGACTTGCCGCGTCCGCCACGCAACCTCGATGGCTTCTTGTATTCCACCACCTCTTCGTCCTCTTCGGAGTACTCATAACCGTCGCGTCTATAGTCAGAGTCGGCAGGCTGATGCCTCCTCTCGACCTCCCCCGGCAAGGTGTTGCTCTGCGTGAACGGAGCGGCCGCGAATAACGGATCCAATAGCGGATTCGAGTTCTGCGGCTGTGGCTGCGGTTGTTGCAGCAGCAGCAACAGGGAATTCAAGTTAGCCGCCGGTATCGCGGCGGTCGGCGTCACCACCACGGTATCCGTTATGAATTCCGTCGCGGTGATGACGTTGGTCGACGAGTCAACCAGAGTTGTAAGGATCTCCTTACCGCGGAAGGTGAGGGGAATGACGGTGCTCTGGTGCTTGGTGATGGTCGTGACGTAGGAGGTAGTGCGTGTGTTATATTGTGTACTAGGTGTAGCCTGAGGCTGTAGCAGAGGGTTTGGCTGACCTAACTGACCCAGGAGCAACTGCGACAGCAGAATATTGGCGAGAGGAGCATTGCCAGACAGGGTGGGCTGCACTGTGGACACGATATTCTCCACAGAGTACACCGTGGTAGGCACGATGACCGATTGGGAAACACGACGGCCGCCGAAACTCGTGAGGGTATGCGAGATACGGGTTGTAGGTGTTTCATGGAGCAGGAATCGCGTGACCTCGGCTTGTCCTTGAACATTCGTGCCTGTGACTTCGGTGACAATCACTACGAGTGGTCTGCCGTCCCCGGCTATCACCGTGCTGTACTGAGTGGGTCCCAGCACCTCGGTGCTGGGCTGTGCGGTGATGATGTTCCGCTGCTCCGTCACACCGTTGTTCACCACAGGGATCGTCACTTCCGTCGGCACGTAATGCGTCACGGTTATGGTGCCGTCGAAATCCGGGTACACGGTAGGCGCTTCGCGGATGTCCTCGTGAGCGCCTCTACTTCTCGTAGGGACTCTTCTGCCGTTGCCGTTTCTGCTGTTCGCCGATCTCGAAGTCGTACGGGACGTTGGCACTCGTCGCGAGTTCGCCGGGGATTCAGTCGGCGATTTGGACGATCCGCTGCGCAATCTCGGTGGTCTCACTCGCCCGTTGTCGTTCGATTTGCCGTTCGACCGACCGTTCGTTCTAGTGGTCGAGCTTGGTCTCTTGTAGCCCGACCTGTTCAACGAAGAGTCCTTCTCTCTCAGCGTGAATTGCCTGCCGTTACCTGACGTCGGTGACGGCTTGATCCTCACCGATCCGGAGGATCCATTCCTGTTTCCGTTGGGTTGCTTTGACCTGGTCCTGGGCTTGCTCTGTTGGCTCAGCTCTGTCGTCTCCGCTGATGACTGGTCCGGATTGTTGGGGGTTTTCTGGTGCGGTCGCGACGTCGTCAAACTGCGCGCTCGATTGTTGTACCGAGCGATAGGCTTTGACGCAGACTTGGCGCTGTCCTCTTTATTCGTCGCGACATCTGACGTGTCAGATCTATCTTCTGCTTTCGCGGAGGAGGGCTGAGTAGGTCTGCGGAAACGACTGCTCAAAGACCTCAGCTGACTAGCCTGACGGCGGACTCTCCTCGTTCTTGTCCCGAAAGGTCTGATTCGCACGGCAGGTGCGACGGATTTCCCTGAACGGCGGTTCACGTTCGAACCGGACCTTGTGTCCTCGTGCTCCGATCCTTCATAGTCGTTATCTGAGATCTCCTCGACGGGCTCGTCTTCGAAACCCTCCTCGTCCTCGCCTTCGAGTTCCTCGTTCGGGTCAATTGGCTCTTCGGTTGGCAATTCCGGCTTCCTACCGAGCAGTCCGCGTGGCGGGAAGAGACCCGTATTGCTTGGTCGACTTCTCGTGGACACCGGAGGAGTCGCTCTGGTGTTCGTTCGGCCGTTGGTCACTCTGGGGACCGTCGGCGCACTCGGTCTGTTCAGGTTGCCCGATCGCCTCGGAGTCGTGGTCGCTGGTGGTCTCGGAGTGGTTCCCGATCGACCGTTCAGGTTGAGGGGTCTGCGGAAGCGCAAAAGTGGGTTCGTGGATCTTCTAGACGATTCCGTGGTGGTCTGCAAGGGCGTGGTAACGGTCTCACCGTCAAAGTACTCTGTGAACGGTGTCTCATCGGTGAACAGTGTAGTTGTGGTGAACTCATTTGCGTCGTTCTCCTGGTCGTCGTGTCTAACGGTGGGTTGTCCTCTCAGTAACGTCGACGACGGCCGGATGCCCGCTCGGTATCGTGAGGAAGCGCCGGGAAACGCGGAACTTGAAGCGCGACCCGCGACCCTAGCAGAGGACCCTCTGATCGAGGTTGGACCACGTCTGTTGCCTTGGAACACGGACGATGGCGTTATTCTCTGCTGTCCTCTGCCTCGGGTACTACCCGCCGGGAACGTTGAGCTGTAGGAGCTCGAAGTGGTGGCAGTCCCTCGCCTGCCAGCGAACCTCCTGGAGCTCGACGCAGACAGCGTCGACGAGTATGGTCCAATGGGCGAGGTGACGCGACCTCGTGACGATGCGAACCTGTTGCCTTTACCGGCCAAAGTAGCGGTGATCGTAGGTGTTATGTCCGTTCTAGTTATGGTCGTCGCGGCTTGGGCACCTTTGCGCTTGGGATTGAAAGTTGGCCTGTTTCTGGAAGCGAACGGCCTGATCACTGGAGTGAAGCTTCTCTTCCTCGTCGAGAACGTCAAGCGTGATTTCTTCTTCGAACTCTGGTTGTCGTCGTCTTCGCCGTCCTCCTCGTCGTCTTCCTCGTTCTGATCGGAGTCCTCATCCTGATCAGGCAATTCTGTTGTGGGGTCTTCAGACAACGAAGACTGAATAACCGCAGGAGATGGAGAGATTTCAGGAATGCTTGTCGCCTGACTCGGCGGTAAAGTGGAGGTCGGTGCGATGCTCACGGTGGAACTCGGCGCCGAAAAGCTGGAGGTGCTCTCAATGATCTGAGCGTACCGTCCCTCGATGCTGGTGCCGATCACTTTGGATTGATAGAACGTGGTCGTCCCGTTATTCTCGATCTGGCCCCGGATGAGACGTACCAGGCCGGTTCGGTGGCCCTGAGTCAGCGGGATGCTCGCCTTCCTCTCTTCGTTTATCCTGGTGCTCGACGTGCTCTCGATCACCTTGGCGTAGAGGCCGTCGAAGAGCGTGCCGATCTGCTTGGTAGTAAAGTACACCGTGGTCACTTCGTCAGCGTCTATTACGCTTCCCTTATTTAAGGACAAAATCCCCGTAGGCAAGACAGGCGTGGCTATCGACGAAGACGGTGATAACGGTGGTGTCTCTATCCTCGTCGAGCTCTCTACCACCTGCGCGTACAGCCCGTCGATGTAGGTGCCGTACACGTCCGTCGTATAATGCGTCGTGGTGCCGTCGTGCACCGCGCTCGAATGTATCGTGGAGATCAGGCCTGTCTTTGGCGGTTCGCTCACCTTCGTGGGTGTCAGACTCGTTTTCTCGTCAGTGCTCAAGGTCTGGAACGATGGGTACACGGGCCCGCCGATTGCACGGCCAGTCGCCTGCTGCGTCGTGACGTCCGGAATCGATACGCTGCTCACCGTCTCCAATCTGCTGTTCAAGATCGTTTCGTTGCCGACGTAGGACGTGGTGAAGTAAGTGAACGTGGTGTAGAAGGTCGTGGGCTCGGGCGAGATCGACGAGGCGTTCACTGCGCTCGGATCGTCCGGGCTGCTCGTGATTCCTTTTGACAGGACGCTCGTGTCGTCGATGCTGGACTTCTC